AAAAACTGCTGAATTGCCAGTTCCAACAAGGAATAGCATTAATGTCTGACTATAAATTCTCCCAGATGGATTTAGATGGTACCATTACATGGGTTCATGTTTTAGTGTTTTGTTTGGTGAGTATGAGTAAAGAGCAGGAAATTAGCATTTGTTTTAAGCCAGTATGGTGCTAAGCACATTCACATACATGATCAAACAGCAGGGCTAGAAGAAAGATGCTGAGTGCACACACCTGTATGCTCTAAGGGTCCACTCGTACAGTTAGAAGAACATCTAGCCTTTTCCCAGAGTTGTCCATCTCAGGGGTAATTATATGAGTGCTTGCAGTTTGTTTCTAATTTTGTTTCCTAGTGTCTTAGTTCATTTGGGCTGCTATCACAGAATACCACAGGCTGGGCCAGGTGCAGTGGCTTGCACCTATAATCCTAGCTACCCGGGAGGCTGAGACAGGAGGATAGTTTGAGCCCAGGAGGGCGAGACCAGCCTGGGTGACATAGTGAGATGCCATCTCTAAAAAGAAAAAAAAAATGCCACAGTCTGGGTGACTTACACACAACAGAAATTTGTCTCGCATAGTTCTGGAGTCTGGGATATCCAAGATTAAGGCACCAACAGGTTCAGTGTTTAGTGAGATCCCACTTTCTGGTTCATAGATGGGTGTCTTCTCGTTGCTTCCTCACGTATCAGAAGGAGCAAGGGACCTCTCTTAGGCCTCTTCTGTAAGGGCCCTAAACCCATTCAGGAGGGCTCTGCCTTCATGACCTTATCGCCTCCCAAAGGTCCCACCCCCTAATCCCATAACCTTTGAGGGTAGGATTTCAACAAATGAATTGGGAGGGAGAGAAGGCAAATAGTCACTGTATAGCATCTTGAATTTTCAACAACTGATTCTTCCTTCTTCCCTCCCTCCTTTCTATTTTAAGTTGAGGAGAGTTCAATGGAGTGACTGTTTACAAAGGAAGTGCAGGGTTAAGAGAAGCAGCAGCAAAAGACTGAAGTGAAGCCCCGAGACTGGCAATTGCTGAAAGATGTTCCCACTCCAGGCCTAAAGAGGCCAAGGGATGATCCTCTGTGGAAGCTGGGAGAACACAGAACAGCTGGTCTTACTGTTACTTAAATTGAAAATCAATGCCACTCCCCGGTGGTGTGACAGCTCAGCAGCCCCTTTTGAAGTTGTAAAAAAAATTGTTGTAATAAAAAATGATGCATTTCTGGATACCCCTCGAGGCCATTAGAGTCTAAGCTTTGTCTCTGAGCTATTTTTACAACTGTTTTCTGCACACGGCACTTCCTCCTGGGTTACTGACTCTAGCCTGGCTGGATGTCTTTGAGCTATATTACAACTCTGCATAAATGCGTCTGCTCTTTGAATTCTCCTTTGAACCTCTACGACATTTGCCTGGATAATGAGTGAAAGAAAATCTTTAGCACGTGTTCATTTTACATCTGTATGAGACTTAGGATTGCACCCTTTTTTTGAAAATTCTCTTTTAACAAAGAGAATGTCCTCTCCTCCTCATGGTTATCCAGTAGAGGGTGTCCTGCAGCAAAGTTGCCTGGACCGAGTACTAAAGCTCTTTCATATGTGCACAGGCATCTTACTCCCAGATGGGGCGCCCCGAGGCACCCACAGTCAGCACCACAGACCAACTCTGGGTCTCTAGAGCCAAGGCCGGCTTGCATGCCCAGATTCACAATTACTCTAGGGGGGATTTTGGCCCAGAAGCTCCACTGTCTTTCCTGAAATCTATGGTACGGAGCACACCATACTCCGCAATCTCTCTTAACAACCCAGAACCTCAGTAAGAGCCAGAGCCCCTCTCTTTTTCCTGGGGGACTCTCAATGTCCCAGGCCAGGTAGTGGATGTGCCTCCAAACTCCACCTGTTGTAGCATCTAGGCCTCAAATTCAAATGGGTTTTACTTGGGACAGAGTGAACCCTAATTCTGCTCACTAACGACACATAGGCCCCAAGTCCCCGCCCAGTAAAAATACTCCCTACTGTCCACCTTACAGATGAAGAAATGAAGGTTCGGAGTTCGGGGCCTTGCCCACAATGACACAATTAGCACACAGTGGACCCAGATTCAAATCCAGAAGGCTCAGACCCCACCTAGTCCTCTTTCTGCTCAAATGCCAGCACTGAACACCCTTCTCCACCAGGGCACCCAGAGGTCCAGGCCGTCTCCCCAGGGAACCCGGACGCAGAGCCAAGGAGCGTCTTCTACTTATTTTTCTTGACTATTTTCTAAGAGATCTTGACAAATGATAAAGCCATTTACAGCTGACGTCTAAAATTCTGACATTTTTAAGCTGACATCTAATATTTTTCATTTGAATTTAAGTAGTCACAAAGGAGGTGATTTCTGGCACATATTAAATGTTAATTTTTTTCAAGGTTACGGCATTATTCTTAAGTATATCCAATGGATACTAATTACCAAAATGATCCGATACCCATCGTCATCCACGAACACATGCTCAGAAATTATCCATCTTTCCTTGTCCTTCTTAAATCCATACTTCCAGCTCATCTCTTATAGAACTCTGTCCTGTTTGAAATTCTTATATTCAGTGCCCTGTTGTATTTCTCTATGACAAAAAATCTTTAATAACTTGTTTCATTCGCTCTCACTGTAAAGCTCTAAGTGTTAGCCAGTGGGGCAAGGTTTCTGTCCTCCCAGTGAGGCTACATGTTCACAGACGAATGATTACAAGGTTATATAAACAAAACAGGTGTCACTACCAATCCTATTCTTGTTTTTTAATGTTGAAGAAACTCGTTCTCATACAAAGCGCAAGGTGACAGGAGTTTTAGTAAAGCTTCGTCCCTCAACTCTTTGAACCCTTTCTCGGTGCTGGACAAACACTGAATTGGGCTGGTGGTTCCCTGGGAGGCTGGGGGAGGGGGAGGAGCCGGCGCAGGGCAGTGAGGGAGCATCCGAGAACTGCGGGTCCCGTTCCGCTGCTTAATCTAGGGGGTGGGCACACGGGGATTTGTGCAGTTTTTCACTCTACCCTATACATATCTCATAAGTAATCTTTTACACACACTCAGTACTTAATTTTAAAATGAGAGAGAAAATACCATCAAAAACCTATCAAAAGGGCTAATAACTAGAATCTATTTAGAACTCAGGAAAATCAGCAAGAAAAAAATCAAAC